CCCAGCCAAGAAAAATGAGAGACACATGGCACACACCTGGGTCCAACCTGAAGCTTGGAGCCAACACCAACATAGCTCAGTTGAAAACAGCTGATCCCAGACCGCCCCCGGATGCAAGGTTGAGAAGAAATGATGATTGTTTTAAGTCACTGGAGATTTGGAGTGGTTGGTGGTTATTATTTTGGCAATAACTTGGTGATAAATCTTCATGTTCAGTTTCCACATCCTAAGCAAAATAACCTCTTTTTCTTGTCCCCTCTCCTATTCTTATCAAGTGGTATGTATCCTAGAAGTGGCCAGGCAGGGAGTGGCTGGGCCAGTTTTTAGCTTGGAGAGGACTGTTAATCTAGAGAGATTTTAATAACCCCCGAACACCAGAGGCTTATAACAGGTGACAAAACGATACTAAAACTGTCATTTTGTTCCTCCTACCAATAGCATTACTGCCATATTGATAAGACTCCTGAATCCCATTTACCTGTTATGCCTGATTGGGTTTCTCATCAGCCCATTCTCCCAGGCATTTCTCAAAACAATTTACTGCTAAAACGTGAGAGTGGGGAGTAACCCAAACCGAAACCGACAAATGCTGATCGACAGCACTTGGATCAGTTCATCGCTGTAAACAGCAGATGAAATCTATTACAATCCAAATTTCACTTGTTAAGTCTCTAGAATGGGGCTGGCTGCTGGGCTTGTGGGAATGATTTTCTCAAAATGTCCACTGGGTGGGCCCCTCTTTTTCCTGGAGACTTAGCACACTGCAGAGAGAGCCACTGTCCTCCTGGAGAGAGTGTGAGCCCCAGGTTGTAAAGGGAGACGCTCCTTTCCTCGGACTCTGAGGCCAGGTGCAGGAACAGGGAGGACAAGTACAAGGATTTCAGGCAGACTCATTAACAATCACTACTGTACTGCCAAAGCCGCGTGTCAATCTGCTTTGTCTGGCTGGAATTCAACATACGGGTCCACAACATTTTCATAGCCCTTAGCTCATTGAAGCACATGGCTTTTCCTGACAGCATTACTATCATAATTTACAGTGTCTCTGGTCAAGTGGCTTGTTCAGGATTACACCGCCAGGCAGTGATTCCGCCATCTGTTAGCTGTGTGACCTTGGGCAGTCCACTGAACCTCTCTGAGAATCCGTAAAGTGAGGCCGGGTTTTAATAACACTTACCTCAGAGGGCTTTTGCAAAGATTAAATTAAAAAATGCATTGGTTTTCCTTAACTAATTTCCTTAGCTATTTGCTGAAAACAAAACCAAAACCAAAACAAATAGAACAAACACATCTCCAAAATCTCGAATCACAGTGTTTGGTACACACATGATGCAAATTCAATGAAGAAAAATGAGAAAAAAAAAGTTACCTATAATTCCACCATCTACATGCAGACCTATACCTTTCCAATTGTTTTTTGTTTGCACATAGACACATATGTATTCACAAAATTGGTTCATACATACTATTGTGTAACCAGCTTTTGTTGCTTAACCAATTATCATAAACATATTTCTTGCCAATAAATATGTCTATTAATATGTGCATTAACTGTTGCACAAAATTTCGTTGTATGAATGTAGTATATTTTTACATACCCTATTTTTTGATTTTTAGTTTCTTTCCTTGTTTTTGCTCTTATAAATACCTCTGTGATGAGTATTTCTGTACATATATTCTTGAGCAGATAATTGATCATTTTAAAAGATAAATTTGCAGATATGTAATTACTAGTTAAAAACTACAAGCATTTTAATGTTGCTTTATACATGCTGCCAAGTTCTTTCAGAGAAGTTCTAGTAACTTCATCTCCTGGTGAATTAACATGCCTGTTTCACCATATTTTTGCTAAAACCCAGCCTTTGTCACTTTTAACCTGTGTTTGTTTGATGGATGATAAATGGATTGCATTGTTATCTTAATTTATGTTTGTTACTGCTGAAAAGGAAACTTTTGTATATATTGGTTATGTTCTTGATCCTTAAAAATTAGTATTTTTCTTATTGCTATGTAGAAACTTTGTTAATTAGAGGATTTAAATTTTGCCTTATATTTTGTAAGTATTGTTCTAATTATTAATTTTTCTTTTAATTTGTGAATTTTTGACATTGTATACATTTGAAAATGGTATGTAATAATATCTAGGTGTTTTTGTGTGTGTTTCCTTTTATACTAACATGCTTAGAGAGACTGGAGTATTTCTTAAAATAATTTTTTTTCCAGGAAGGCATATGTCTGGTATGTTTTCTGAGTCTCTGAATGAGAATAAGCTTCTGGAGTCCTCCTGTGAGAACAACAGCTTGGCATAGAGCATGTCTGACACAAATTTTCCATCTTAAAATTCTGTAGAGAGGCTGTTGCACTGTTTCCTGAAATTTAGTGTTGAGAGATAAGTCTGATGCCAGGTGGATTTTCCCTCCTAGTACGTTCCCTGGTTGTTGGTTTGTTGAGCAGGATGATTCCAAGATTTTTCTCTATCCTTGGAATAAATAAGGAAAAGCAGGAAACACAGTCTATTTTATACCCTGGCCTGGCACACAGTGGGGGTTGCGGGCTGAAGATGGATTTCCCCAACTCAGGAAAATACTCTTGCATTACTTACTTAGTCACAGCTTCCTCTCTGCCTGATGTCTTTTCTTTTCCTGCAGTTTCTATTCAATTGCCAGGGCCTTTCCTGCATGCCTATCTTCCCTCTTGTTTTTCACATCCAGCCTTTTTCCCCGAGTCTCAGAATTTCCCCAGCTGCCTGATCGCTTTGCACTCCTGTTTTCTGCATCATCCAACTTGCAAATCAGTATGGTCGCTGCATTTTTCTATCAGGTGGTTGTTTCACCTTGAGGAATTCTTCCCTGATTTCTGAGTTCTCCTTTTTTATGTGTGCATTTTCCTCTCCATTATTGTTGAGAACCTGAATATAACATTTTACAAAATGTCACTCTCTTTCCTTCCCTAAACTTTTTTCCAAAGAGCACCGTCATTTGTGTTCTTGAGCAGTTTTTACATATATCCAGATGTGTTCCCCCACTTGCCCATCTTTACAGAGGGAGGTCTGTGCTTTCCTATTATGGGGTCTGGAAGAGATTCAATCAGAATGTTTGAATTCATATTCAATTTCTTTAACCTAGGAAGAGAAGGTCAAGGAAAAATGATAATTTCTGCAGGTTAACTTCTGGATCAGTTTCAGTTTTTTGGGAGAGGGAAAAGGGAAGTGCGTCCACAGGTGGCTGTATGACAGGGCTTCCCCACTGTGCCCACATCCCTTTCGGGAGGGCAGGGGCACCGCCCCCTTCCCTAATGGACAGGGTGGCTCTTGGGATGAGCCTATTGTGGCAATGTGCCCACATTGTGTTACACCATTTTTATTGTGTTGGTTGATAGGGCCATCCAGAAGTAATGCCCCAGAGCTACTGTGTCACATCTGGGCAGGGTGTTATGGGTGTGGCATTTATGTACCCGCTGCCTGGGTGTGTGGCATTCAGACTGCCCTTCCTTGCACCTTCCAGCTCCCACCCTTTGCCACACATTCTCCCCAGATGTTTGCACAATTTGAGAGAAAAATAATGGCCCTTCTGATAATGCAGCAAGTGTGTGCGCAGGTGATGAACTGGGAATATTCAGAGTTGTCATTATATGTCTACGTCACATTTAGGAGTCGTTCATCTGAGTAATTCATGCAAATCTCACTTATAGTGGCTGATGTCTGATATACAGTCAATAAATGTTGGTTTCCTTCCCCTTTCTTTGCCTTCTCTGATTCTGTCATTGTTTGCTACTTGCCTTGTGGCCCTCTTCTTGTTTTTTATTAAAAAGCCCTCCAGGAGAGTCTCATTGCTCTTTGGGAATGGATGGCAGGCTTGTCTGTCTTCTGACGCCTTTTGTGGAGCACGGCAGTGGCCATCAGGAGCCGAGCAGCATGCTCAGCCCAGTGCTTCCTGCTTGCTCAGATAAAAAACAAGCTGGGTCAAATGTTATTTCTATTTCTATATCCTTGAGAAATCACCACACTATCTTCCACAGTGGTTGAACTAATTTATACTCCCACCAACAGTGTTAAAGCGTTCATGTTTCTCCACATCCTCTCCAGCATCTGTTGTCTCCAGGTTTTTTAATGACTGCCATTCTAACTGGTGTGAGATGGTATCTCAATGTGGTTTTGATTTGCATTTCTCTAATGACCAGTAAAGACGAGCTTTTTTCCAGCAATCCCATTACTGGGTATATACCCAAAGGATTACAAAACATTCTACTATAAAGACACATGCACAAATGTGGCACATATACACCATGGAATACTATGCAGTCATAAAAAAGGACGAGTTCATGTCCTTTGCAGGGACGTGATTGAAGCTGGAAACCATCATTCTCAGCAAACTGACACAAGAACAGAAAACCAAGCACTGCATGTTCTCACTCATAAGTGGGTGTTGAATAACGAGAACCCATGGACACAGGGAGGAGGACATCACACACTGGGGCCTGTTGGGGGGTGGCGGGGCTAGGGGAGGGATAGCAGGGAGTGGGGGAATTGGGGAGGGATAACATTAGAAGAAATACCTAATGTATATGACAGGGGGATGGATACAGCAAACCACCATGGCATGCATATACCAATGTAACAATCCTGCACGATCTGCACATGTACCCCAGAACTTAAAAAAAAAAAAACAAGCTGGACAGTCCCCAGAGTGCCTCATCCTGACCTCCATGGGGAAGGCAGCCTGGTGGGCTGTGTCCTTTCTATGCATTCTCCACCTTCTTGACTCCTCACTGCTGCCTTCAGGGTTCCTGGCAGCAGCTGGGCTGAGGCTGGAGGGGTGAGTAGAAGGAAACTTTTGACATTTGTCTAGGACTGAAGTGACTGTGGATATGCCTTTTGTGGTAGATTTTGCTGGAGCGGGAAATTTGCACCTGTTTGGAGCTGGCATCGCATTTAGAGAGAGCAAGGGGAAACAAAAACAAAGGCCAGCACATCTGGAATGATTACTGCCAAAATTACTTACCAAAGACATCTGTGACGCTGTGATCCATTCAGGAGAGATGTGAAAATGAGCCCCAGCTGAGTCTCCCAGCAAAATGATTCCCCTGGGCTGTGAACCTGGGCAGCACAATTTATTTATATTATTTATGCACTCAAGTAGTTTGGAACCTCCAGACTGGAGAGTTATGAGAGCAGATACCCTAGTGTGTATTTCCAGGCACCGAGTGTTATAACAGCAATGCATTACCACTTTTTGCATGTTTGAGAGTGAGGGGCATAGCATTTAGGAGCTGAATGGGACTTCCAGGCCATTGGAGCTGCTGCCTAAGATGTGGAGACGCAGGTGTGTTTGGTGTGCTTCCCAGCTCAGCATAAAACAAACTGCTGTACAACATCATGAGTGAATGATGGATGAATAAATGAATCAAATCTTTATCTGAAATCAGAAATATGCCCTAAATTTTGGCTCTGGAAATTACTTTCTTCAAAACACACCGATGTCTATTACAATTCACTTTAAGGGTTAAATGATCTTATGGAGCGATTTTGATTTTTCAAAGATGTTGTGGTCTTTTAAAGCCCTTAATCCATACGGGCAAAAGCGCTGGATAGACGATTATGGCCGATTAATGGAGAGGCAGAGATAGAAAGGTCTTCATGCAGCCCTGTATGGTCAGAGGTTCAGAATCACTTAATCTAACTCTGAGGTCCATCCACGCGAATCATTCACCTGTGAACACATTCTTCCAAATTCCTTAAGATTCTCAAAGAATCAATTGATGCCTCCCAGAGGCAGAGAGAGGCACCTCCTTTTCCACTTCCAAATGCCTTAAACCGTGCAGGAGGATGGCCTAGTCTCACTGCGTGGACCAGGGGTCTCACCCCTCAGAGCATGGAGGGCCCACTGAGAGACTGGGACACAGGGTCTGGGCGGATTCTGCAGTCTCTGAGCTGGAGGTCTAAGTGTCCTGCCATCTTCAGTACCTAAGATTGATGCTTCTAAAGAAGCAATTCTCAAGGGGTCAAGTTGGCACATTCCTTTACCCCCTGAACACATTGGCAATGTTTGGAGAAACTTTTCTGCTGGGGGTGCTACTGGTATCTAGTGGATAGAGGTCAGGGATACTGCTAAATATCCTACAATTTACCACTTCAGTGGCTCCTCAGCCTGGGCTTCATGACTACCACTACTTGGCCACACAAATGGGGGCTAAGAAGGCCCAGGACATCCTGGGGGGCACAGGGAGAGTAGGATGTGGGGAATCTAAGAGGCTTTGCACCAGGGCTTCACCTAGATCTGCCTATGTTTCATTCATTGGTTTAATCGTTCATTCGTTCTTTTATTCGTCCAACAAATATTCCTAAACTGCATATATATGTAATAAGCCTTTACATTTTCTTTCCCTCTTCTTCCCCTCTGAGGGCTAAAGGACAATTAGGCTTTAAGTTGATAGAATGCAAAGACGACATACTTTTTTTCCATGAAAACTCAGAGCCAACTATAGCTCTTAGTTAGAATTGAAATCGTTGTTCAGAAAATGCCTGTTGAATGAATGAATAAATGAACGAGGTGATTGTGAAACTGGGGAGAAAAGCATTGCCTAAACATAAAACAGTGATGTTACCATCAAGTGCTGGCATCACCAGGAGCATATTTTCAGTAATGTGTGGGTGGTGAGGTTTCCCCAATGGAACTGGTGGTGCAGATGTTTGTGCCATCTGGGTACTTAGGGCACAGAGTTTTGCTCAGCTATTTTTGGGAAGCCCTCACAGGTTATAGCCTGGCAGTCTCAAGTCATTCAGACCTTCAGATATGCATCTTTAGCCTAGTGGACACAGAGACTCATCCCATCAGTAGAAGTCCAGGTGTCTGACCTTGCAGTGTAATTAGAGGAAAATGCAAAAGATTTAAAAATGTCAGTTATCTCTGCTGCTTGGTTTCTTATCTGGAAAAGTGCTAGATTTCCATTGCTCTTTTATTCATTTTGCAGCCTAAACCTCTAGTAAAAGAGTCAATTACACAAATTGTTTTGCTTTTTTAAGATTCTGCCCCCTTTCCTCCTTTTCTGAACCTTTTAGATCATTTTTTTTTTCTGATCTGTCATGAAAAAAATGTAAGTTGGTCAGCAGAGAGTAAATCCTAGCATCGAGCATGTTCTGACTTAGGTGGTCTGCTCACTTCAATTTGACTCAGACTAGGAAAGAACACTCCCTAGTCATCACCAGACTGACATCCACAATTCATACCTTCACAGAATTTCTTCTCATATGGAACTCCATCTTTTGGATCAACACCCTTTAAAAGAAAAATGATGCAATTAGCAGTTTGGTTTTAAATTTATGAGATAGATACACTAAATCTCTCCTAAATGGCTTTAAAAGCACAAAGGCAAATGAGTAGACAAAACCCTTTAAAGTCTCTTAAGTCCCTAATTCAACATAGCAACGCCCCATTTGAGTGAGAAGGGTTTGGGAGGAACTGAGGGTGGGAGTAAAGAGAGAGCCAGACACTGGGACATCTCATTCAAGGGGATGCCGGGTAGAGTTCTGGGAGAGGTGCCTGGACCAGGGGTCTCACCCTTCAGAGCATGGAGGGCTCACTGAGTGACTGGGACACAGGGTCTGGGCAGATTCCGCAGTCTCTGAGCTGGAGGTCTACATGTCCTGACATCTTCAATACCTAAGATTGATGCTTCCAAAGAAGCAATTCTCAAGGGGTTGATTTTGCACATTCTTTTACCCCCTGAGGACACTGGCAATGTCTGGAGACATATTTTGCTGGGGGTGCTACTGTCATCTAGTGGAGAGAGGTCAGGGATACTGCTAAATATCCTATAGTTTGCAAGACAGCTCCAACAGGGAATTATTCAACCCAAACATCAATAGTGCCCAGATTAAGAAACCCAGACGTAGCACTGGGTCTGTGAATGGGACTGAATTGGCACGGATGGGATATCCTAAAACCTAAAGTTAAAGCTACCCCTTAGTAGAGCTGCTAGTCCTTAGAAGGATTATTTATAGTATTCCAGGATGAAAGCACTTGCTGATCAGAGATGTGTTAACAAGAGCGTGCTTACTCACCAGTCTTGGGAGCTCCCCATGCCCATTAAAACATGAAAGAACCTATTAACATCACACTCAACACTGGGGTCCCCGGGACACATTCTGGGCAAGGTTGGACTTCATGGTTGTAAGACTCCCTCTGCATTTATGATGTTGTGGTTCTGTGAGTTGTGCTTCCTCTGTGGAAGGGGATAGGTATGAAGGTGATATGCCTTCTCCCGTCACCGATGATGAGCTCTGCATCTTGCCTCCCTCAGCTCATGATGGATTTCCATTGATCTAGTACAGTCTCTTACTTGGCCTTCCTCCTTATATGGGTGGCACACCCTGTCTGCAGCCTGGGTGGGACCATGGAATGAAGACAGGGCATCACACATTGATTAGTCCCTTTTGTCCTCCAACATGACAACTAGACCTGGGTTTTTTAGAATAAGAGCTAACTTGGGTATCTTGTCACCTTAAGCTCTCTAGGGGAGATGTCTTCTTCTCCATGAAAAGGCGGCGTGACTAGGGACTAGGGTGAGTGGCGTGGGCTGGGGCACAGCCATCTGCCATGCCTTCCTTTATCTTGGAGGACATGGGACTGGAAAGCATACAGTAGGTGACTGTTGGTGCAAGCCTGTGCTATGAGTGTCCTGGAGAGAGGAAAATATTTACAGAAGCTTTTTCCTCTTCATTGAAGCAGATACGTGAAGCAACTATTTAGAGGCAATTTAGATAATTTATTTAGTAGGTGTGCAAATGACTGCAGTTTTTGCATTAATTACAAAGACCACAATTACTTTTGCACCAAAATAATATCTTGAAGTTAGGGAATCTTAAGCTTCAGGGCCCATCCCAGCCCCCTGCCTATGTGAGTACTGGGAGTGACTGGGAGCTATAGAGTATTCTAGGTGGAGAGGGGAGGCCAGGCAGAAATCCGAACACGTTTCCATGTAAACACTTCCGGTAAATCAGAAACAAGATCTCAAAAGAAAGGGAACTGAATTTCTCAGACTCCAGGAATTTATTAAGATTTTTTTGATTGTTTTAAAAATTATTCATTTTCATATTTGATTTTGTATTTTTAATTTGATATTCTTTTTCTTCATGAGGAACCCTGAAATCATGTAAGCTTAATACCCCACAAACTCGAGTCTCTTTCTGTGTTAGTTTTGGTTTTCCTCTTTTCTTCCTTTTTCTTTCCCTGGAAGCTGCAAATCCATCATTCATAGGGAACTAGGACAGCAGCATTAAATGCCTTAAGGTGTGAGTAGTAGGGTAAATACTGGGTAATTTCTGCTCTGCCTGGCTAGGCTTATGAAACAGAAAAAAAAATGGTGGCAACAAAATAAGGACAGCATGTGGTTTGCTCCAACAGCTGTGTGGGCTGCTGTAAAACTTTGTTAACACCACTCTTCACTTAATTTCACACTGTTCAAAACAGTATAAATAGATTAGATGTCGGTGACCTTAAGCAAGGCCTAAAGGAGCCATGACTGAGAAAGCCTGCACTCTCATGACATCATTGACACTCTTCACACATCGTCAGGATTCTAAACCCCATTTCTAAGCAGCAGGAAAAGAGCTGCTTGAGGCTGTTACAGGTTTCCTTGGATCTGTGATGAGCTTGGGAGAGGGAAGAACACAGGAGAGTGGGGTTCAAGCTGAATTTAGTTGCTTACCCAAATGCCATTACAATTTGAATCCTGATGGACATCCCAGTTGTTTGGCCTAAGAAGAAAACATTAACATTGGTCTTTAGCATAGGCTTGTCTCTCAGTGAATGTCAGTTTGGGGTATGCATGCGTGAATGAATGAATGCTACATGAAATGCCATGGAGAGACAACAGCATTCTTCATAGAAGAGCGTCACATCCCATTGTGTGTTGTGACATCAGAAGCCTCCATTCAGCTTCCTTACTTTAACCTTGGTTTGGGATATTTTCTGGGAGCTCTGGACCAAAATCCTGTCTTTTTCATCATTGACCATATTCATGGACCGCATTGTTGTGGAATGGCGCCGATGAACATAACGAAAAATCTGCATCCCATTGTGCCCCTAAATGCCCAAATAACTGGTTAACTTAATGCTTTGATACTGTAGTCACAACAAAGATGAGGGCTAGCATATCTGTCTTTTGATATCAGAGATGCAATTGAACATCAGCCCAGGGCCAATGTATGACATGTTTTCCATGCATTGGAGGCTTCTCCTTACTCCCAGGGGGACAGGCCACTATTTCTGGGCCCAATTCTGCATGGAGGACTGATACAGAAGGCTGGATAAATGTCTACAATAAGATAATCTGTTCACTTGACTGCTTTTCCCAATTGACTGTAACCTCAAGGAGAGGAGATATATTTCTATTTTGTTTACCACCCAGCATGATGCAAAGTGCTTGGCAAATTGTAGGTCCCTGATGAGCATTTCTTGGACAAATGAACGAATGAATGCTGTTCTTTTTTCACTGAGCTTTACTTCAATCAGAACACGAAAACCTCTTCTCTCTGTAAGTGGGAATCCCCTAGGCTGGGGGAAGGAAATGTACCTCTTGCCTTCTTTTCTGAAGATAATTTTAAAAATCAGCAACCAGCAGAAATAGTTACCTTCTGCCTGGGTACACTGACTCGTCGCTGTCATTACAATCTCTCCCTCGCCAGTGATAGCCCCGCAGCGTCTGAAATTGAAGAGCACACACAGGAGGGTTTCAGCCCACTTTGATGTTATCCACGAGGAAGGTTAATCAGAGCTGTCTGAATGGCATTGACATCCACAGTTTTTAATTCAAATTCAATCTAGGATCACTAAAGAGCACTAAGAAAGTTAAGATTAATACAATAAGACATGCTGTGTGAAGTGACGTGTAATATAACACCAGGGCCAATAACAGGTGGTAGGGTGTGTACATGTGTGTTGTGTGACATTGAATGTTTGCCTATATGTGTGTGTCTGGGGTGCATGTGTGTGAATGTGAATGTGTATGTGTATGTATGGGGGCATGTGTATATGCATGTGTGTGTTCATGTGTATTTATATTGTAGATGTATGTGCATGTGTCTGTGTGTACATGTGTTTGCTCATGTATGTGTGTCTACAAGCACCTCCAGAAACAGCAGACCCATCTACCCCCCCCAAAATCCCTCTATTAACCATCAGTCCTCTCAGGCTGTGAAACAATTTGCCTATTGGGCCAAATTATTAATTTTCTTGGAAATTCTAAAGTCTCTAGCCAAATGATTAATTATGTAGGTTTAAATATTTGACCTGAATGATTGGAATCAAGAGTTATGATAATGTCAAATAATATTTTTATTTCCTCCTTTCCCAAGTAGAATATCTGAGATTTTCCAAACTTTTGGGACTTTGTGACATGTTACTTGTTTGTTGGCTTTCACAGAGAGAATACTCTGACATTTTAACTGTTCTGAATCAAATGCACACACACTGTTTAAAAAGTAACCTAAAGTAGATTTAAGAATTTCCGAAATAATTCACAAAACCTTTCAAGATAATTATAGTCCCCATGGAGAATTCCAGCTGGCAATGGCAACAAAACCAGTCTGGACCTAAGATTTACTTCAATGGCTTGTGTATCATCACAATGCTACACAGTCTGTAAAAAAAAAAAAAAAAAAAAAAAAAAAAAAGTGAAATGGGCTGAATGTGGTAGCTAATGCCTGTAATCTCAGCACTTTAGGAGGCTGAGGTGGTCAGATCACTTGAAGTCAGGAGTTTGAGACCAGCCTGGCCAATATGGCGAAACTGACTTTACTAAAAATACAAAACTCAGCCAGGTGTGGTGGTGTGCGCCTGTTATCCCAGCTTCTCGGGAGCCATGAGAAGCACTTGAAACCAGGAGGCAGACATTGCAGTGAGCAGAGATAGTGCTACTGCACTCCAGTCTGGGCAACAGAAGGAGACTCAGCCTCAAAAAAGAAAAGAAATTGTGAAATGATGTATTGTTCATCAAATGAATAATGCATTCAAATGAAATTGAGCCTTGTCTTATTAAAGGAAAGAAATTTGTAGGAAGCAATGTGATATTAGTGAACATCTGGTTATTTCTAACAATACTTACTGGGAAAATGCTGTATTTGTCTGAATCTACGTCTTTGAATGGCACAGACCGTTCTATAGCTCTAGGAAAAAGAAAACAAAACAATTGATGAGCTAAGAAAAAAGTAGCAATGTTGGTGAAAAGAAATAGACATTTTCTGATATAGCTGTGTTGAGTTTATGCCACAGCGGGCCATTCTAAACAGAAAATTAAGAGTCTATGTGGTATCAGAGAGAGCCAGCAAAACTTTGCCAATCTCTGCTCTTCACCCAACAGAACTGTTTTCTCTCTGATATTAACTTGGCCTGTACAAGATAGTGAAAGAATTGAATTGAAATTTTAAAGGGCAAGGGGTATCGATGTTGAGATTCCCAGGAAATATGAGACAACACTTTGAGTCCAGTCAATGAACTCACCACTACAAACTGAATTTTTGCCATTTTCCGCATTCTGTTATAGAAATCTTTTCTTCACATTTTACTCTTTTCAGTCACTTATCCTGAGAATCTTGATCATTTAGCGGATATTAGCTGACAACTTTCACTCCCGTTCATGAGTCTGGGAAGCCAAGGACCCTGATGTGATGACTAAAGAAATTCATGCCAAAGCCATGGTCATTCTTTGAGGGGGGATTTCCCCTTTGGAATCCTCACTACCAGATTTTTCCCAGCTTCTAAATGTCAAACACAGACTTGGGTTTAGGAAAATCACTTACAGAGCAGCAGAATAATGCAGTCATATGGCAAAGAGACAGGAAAATAGGGTCTGGAGGCAGGGAACATACGGCCGATTCACACTTCAGCTAAAATAGGAAATATCCTCTCCATAGGGCATATGCCATAAATGACTTTGCAACTTTACTTCATCCTCTTCATTTACATAGGATGTACCCCAAGTAGAGGGTATTCAAACTCACAAAAAGCCTGTAACAGGGCCTTTGAGCCCCTATTCTCAGGCCCGCTCCCACACTGTGGCGTGTACCTTCATTTTCAATAAATCCCTTCATTCCTTCCTTGCTTTGTGCGTTTTGTCTAATTCTTGGTTCAAGATGCCAAGAAACTGGACACCCGCCATCATTAACAGCAAGATGAGGCTTTCCTTGGAGCCTAGAATTTAGAGTGAGTAACACAACCTTTTATAGGAATTACTAAATAGTCTTTTGAATCAAGAGCATCTTAACAGTTCTGAGAACCTCAAGGCAAATAAATGCTAACTGCCACCCTGGAGCCTGTCTTATGAACTCTGGGATGTGGCAGAAGTTTAGCTTATAGGCCTCTTCGGTCCAGCACTGAAGGGCACTGTGCTGGTTATATTAGCCTCTAGGGTTCTGCAGCCTGTATTCTGCTCTGTACTGTTCTGCTGGGAATTTTGCAAAATACACTTACCAGGTTCCCTTTGGAACTGGAGCTAGCACTGATGGGCAGAGAGAGCAGGAGGAGGAGAGGAGAAGTTGTTTTCTCTCTCTTTCTCTGTCTCTCTCTGAATGTTCCCTTTGGTGACTCCAGCTCTAGTCATTGTGGGCCCAGCACCCATGGGTGGCCCCTCATCCATGGCTCCAGGACTGGCCGATGTGGCCTCTTGTTTTGCCCCCGGCAACCCAGCAGCAAGCGGCCTCCTAAGCCTGAGAACATCATCTCCTGTGTTTTGCTTCCTCTGTTCCGCTAGGGATGCTGGCTGCCTCCTGTCGTGCTCATAGCTGGGTAGCCTTGCCTTTCCCTTTGTACTCTTTCAGTCTTTTTGACACTTTTTAAACTGGTACCTTTTATTAAATCCTCTCTATGTGAGATACCTTGCACAGCTCTGTTTCCTGACTGGGCCACTGAGAGGAGGGCCCTGGGATGTGTGAGTGCGGGTTAGGGTACTCAGAAAGGGTAGAGAGTGTGGGGGGTCAATAGCCACTTGGTGGACCCAATGAAGACAGAGCTTCAAGCTGATGTCTCATTGCTAGTCCTTCCTATAACCCTGCCCTGGGGAACAGAGGAGGCTGGAACCCTGAAAGGACAAGGCAGCAAGCTTCCTCTTAGGGTCCCCAAGAGGAATTATCCTTTTGAATTCAAGTGCTCTTGCCAGATACTGAGTTGAGCATGGTGGTTCAGTAAAGACTCTGGAGTCAACAGTTGGAATCACAGCTCCATCCACCACTTCCTCACCAACTCTGCAATTCTCAGAGTTATTTAACCTCCCTGAGCCTCATTTTTAAATCTGTAAAGTGTGAATCCTGTCAGCTCCCTCACAGGGTTAATTGGGAGGACTAAGGGAAACCACATGAAAAGCTCCTGGCATTGGTCCTCACGAAGTGCTTGCAGCTGTGGTTATGAGCTCCTGCGGTTGGAAAGAGGAAATTCACCTTCCCCTTCCATTTGGGGTGGGGGGTTGAACAGGGCCAGAGACAGAGCTACCAGTGGGAAATTAGAAAGGTTCTACTCGCTGACTGCACACATCCACACTTAACAGGGAAAGTGAGAACCAGCCCTGTGGAAGGTGGAGATTGTCCAGGAACAATTCAGGTGTGGGCTGTAGACAAATTTCACCCCCATCATCACCCACACCTTGATTTTCCTGTGGCAGGAGCAGAGGGGAATGGAGCTTCCCCAGTGGGCTCAGATGCTGTAATGCTACTTTCCCTCACGCAGGAGAGGAGCCAGGGCAAGATCATCCTTGGGGTCCTTCCTGCCTGATGCTCCAGCGTTTTTAGATCCATCCCATTCCTTGTCTACTCTGAGCAACAAATGCTTTTCTCTCACTTTAATCATCTGTCAAGAAACCTGGAAAAGCTTGGACCAAATGACATGCAATCATCCAACGTAAGTTGTGGCTGTTAAGAAAAGTTCTGGAAAGGCTTTGAAGATCACATTTTCGGTGAGACTAGGCAATTTTCCCCATATATGTATTTGACCTCTTGGATGGCATTTATTTTTCTAGTTGAGAAAAGGAAGATAAAGAAAGAGAGCAAAAGCAAGGGACAGAGAAAGACCAACAGAGAGGGGGGTGGGAGAGAGAGAGAGAGAAAGGAGGGGAGGGGAGGGGAAGGGAGGGGAGGGGAGGGGGGGGGAGGGGAGGGGAGGGGAGGGGAGGAGAGGGGAGGGGAGGGGAGGGGAGGGGAGGGGAGGGGAGGGGAGGGGAGGGGAGGAGAGGAGAGGAGAGGAGAGGAGGGGAAGGGAGGGGAGGGGAGGGGAGAGGAGAGGAGGGGAGAGGAGAGAGGAGAGCGAGAGAGAAATGGTGTGGACCCAAATAGCCATATTTTCAGCCTGAGAAAGAAAAAGGTGCTGGAGGAAAGGTCTAATTTAGGTCTCATTTGAGTGTGCATCAAAGCTATCCCCTCCCACCGTTGTTATCTTGAGGGTGAGAGTTTGTCCTTGAAAGAAGGAACAAAGAGTGGTCTCTAAAATTGGAAAGCTGATTTATTAACCTTTGTCTGCTTACTTTAAAGGCTCCAAGTGACTGACCAAAGCCATGGGTACTCAAAGTATCATAAACTGCAGCTTGTGTAAACTCTACAGTCCCTTCTTTGCAGCCCCTAAATTTTTTTCAACTTAGCAACAACTTCATTTGGTGGCAAAACTTGACCTGAACTGATATAGGGCAATTTGTAAACTTTATCATACTTAGTGTGAAAATTCATACATTTCACTCCAAAATACAAATATGATTGATCAAGAGGTGCCGGGGATAGCAGGTAAGTTACGTATATGTGCTATTACTTTACTAGAATATAATAATATCTGAATTTCAAATCATATCTGGCTCCAAGGCTTTTTGTTGTTTGTTTTGTGTTTGTTTTTATAGAGACTGGGTCTTGCTCTGTTGCCCAGGCTGGTCTTTAACTCCTGACCTCAAGTGGTCATCCCACTCTGGTCTCTCAAAATGCTGAGATTACAGGCATGAGCCAATGTGCCTGGCTACTCCAAAGTTTTAGATAAGGCACTGTTGACTTTTACTAAAAAGTATTTCTGCAAAATTGCATCTGAACTTGATACCTTCTGTATCCTTAGAAATATCTAGTTGTATGTTGAAATGTTCACGCATTCCTTCATTCCTTCATTCCACAGGCGTTTGGGGAGTCCCTGCTGCGTGCCAGGAATCATATTAGATACCAGAGATGGGTACAAGATACAGTTCCTGAACTCAAGGAGCTTGACATGGGCAAGGAAATTAATGCATCAAAAGGTAATTATAGTCCTACATCAAAAATGCTGTAAGAGGTTGTGCATCTAGAGAGGAAAAAACATTTCTAACTCTATATGGGAGAAGAAGTGATCTTAAGGTGAAACCTAAAGGATGAGACAGCATTTTCAAGGCAAGTAATTGGACTGAGGGCATCGTAGTGGGAAGGAAAAGCCATGAGAATTCCTTTAACACAGCTCCAGGTTCTGAAATTAGACTCTCTGGGTTTGAATCCCAGGTATGCTGTCGCCTTGTCAGGTGATCTTAGGCAAATTATTATCTTTTTGTGCCTCAGTTTTCTCATTTGTAAAATGGAATCAATGTCATTATTTCTTAGATACGGAAAGCACTCGAAAACAAAACAAAACACACGAGCTCTTACTGTTATGTGCAATGGGAACCTTGATTGCAAAGATGGCTCCTCGGGTGGACAGCAGGAGTCAGGTGTCTGCTGTCATCACGGTTTGATTTCTAGAGGCATCCCCAGCCCAATCCATGGCCCCTCTTCAGATGTTCAGGCTTCTAGCCACACGACATTCTATCCAATTACCATGCAGCCTGGCATCGCCCACTGCCCCTGATCTATACCTGCTTGCCAGATATCACCAGGTATCAGGTGAGTGGGCTTGGTCCAGGGAGCAATTGTAACTACAGCTAAATGTTATTAATGACACAGTATTGAGCTACTCAAGTTCAATCTCCCTAAAATTATTTCATGAAACTGGGGCATTAAGGCAAAGGAAAAATAGTGAGAATGAATCTCCATGTGTGCCTGCCTCACATGTGAGTCCCAGGTAGCTCTTGAGGGCTGGGCGTGGGTTGGTTGCATCTGTAGGTGGATGTGTTATGTAGGTCTCTGTCAAATGAAATGAGAACACAGTAGCCATGGAAGGGCACACCTGCCTGTAGACATGGCTCAGCTTGGAGGTGGGGGCAGGACCGCTGTGGGTGGAAGGAGCAACGTATGGGGAAGGAGGAGGCTAAAAAGGAAAAGAAAATAGTGTTGAATTAACACAATCAACACGGGATAGGGTGGTTTGCATGTATTGATGTGAAATAATATGAGGGTTTCTGCATATAGACATTAAATAAAAAGAATAGATTTTTAAAAAGGGGATTCTCCTGACTTACCACTGTTGAAGTAAAATACAGACATTGTGTAGGCACTGTGTATCCTTATTAAAACAGAACGCCAAAAAACTCGATCACCCTGTGGTCATAGCCTGATAGCTACACATTTATTTTCCTGGTAAAGTGGTGCTTTTTCTTTATGTAGTCCCTCATTTTCACTGAGCTGCTCCTATTAAGAATGGGATCCCTGCTCTCCAGGAGCTTATGGGTGGTGTGGGAGACCAGTGGGGAGGCAGGGATTGAAGAATGGGATGAGGAGGAGCAGGCACTGAGGAGCTGGGGTCACTGAGGGGGAGCTGAGGGCACCGAGGAGTTGCCGGGGGCCCAGGAAGGCTGTGCAAATGACTGAAGGTGGCCTGGGAGCTGGATGCATTCCTGGGGAGGGGACACCTCAAATGAATTTTTAAAGCATTAGACCAAGTGAGACAGAGGGCAGGTAAGGCATTCCTTCTGGGGGAATTTTATCAAAGGACTATGCCACAGAAGACAGGCAGGTCTTGTCTCTACCATGTGAGGACTCCATGCTAGTGGGTCAGGGATCTAAAACCTCCTTGTTCCTCTAAAGTGTAGGACTAAGGGTTGAGGGAGCAATGGGATGCAAACTGTTGGATTCAAAGGTCAGATTTGTCCATTACCAGAGCTGTAACCTTGTGCAAATGATTTTATCTCTTTGGAAAAGAGATAATAACAGTGCTGACCTTAAATAGTTGGATTTGCAACAGTTTTGGGGGCATAGACAGCACCAGACAACTTTCAGTTATCAAGATTATTACCAAACCACGGATTGCTTTGAAGAATACATGAGACTGCATGTGTATGTATACGTGCTCTGTAAGTCATAAAGCACTGAACCAACTGTGACCTGCTGCATATGACACTTGAAACACAGTGATTTTTAGAAAGAAGGAAAACACAGTTTTTGCTTTTTCGTAAAAGAATAATTTTCCCTTTAAATTGGACCAAGAAAAATCCCTGGTCACTGATGCTCTTGAATTCAATTTTTCAAAGGTGGTTCAATTGAAGAGTTGTCACTTTGACCCTGTTGGGTCCTGCTGGGCCACATCTAACACAGAAAATACAATAATGCATTCAGCAAGGAGGGGGCAGGGGTCTCCATTTAATGGGAGCTAGGCATGACGACATGACTGGGGGCCTGGGGAGCTGGCTGCATCTCAGCCTTCCAGCATCTTCTTTCATGTCTGATATCTCCCCTCTACTCCTCACATCCTAATGCTCTCTGCATTCATCCCCAGTCATGAAAAGGGGTGTTGCTACCACTTCTGGGACCTGCAATGGCACTTTGCACAGCCAGCTTGCAGGGGCTTATGCCAGCAGATTGATCAGGAAGACTTTTTAACTGTTTAAAGGCTCCGAATGTAGGTCTGAATCATAGCCTCCTCCTCTCCCTAGATGCTATCACAACAGACGAGAGATGTTCAGTGGATTTAGTGCTCAGGAAACTCATGAGATAAAGGATGGCAGAAAGAGGAAAAGTGCCTTTGTTAGGGGTTGCATTGTGTTCATGAAAAAAATATGTTGAGGTCCTAAGCCCTGGTATCTGTGAATGTGACCTTATTTGGAAACAGGTTCTTTACAAATGCAATCGAGTTAAGATGAGGTCATTGGAGCAGGCCCTCATCCAATAGGACTGGTGTCCTTGTAAAAGGGAATGACAGGCACCCAGGGAAGATGGCCAGATATGAAGATGAAGGCAGAGTCTGGAGCGATGCCGCTGCAAGGCAAGGTATGCCAAGGCCTCATGGCCACCATCGCAAGCTAGGGAGAGACAGGAAGGATTCAGCTGGTGTCAGTAGGAGCATGGCCCTGCTGCCATTTCGGTTTTGGACTTCTGGCCTCCAGAACTGAGAGAGAGTTGATTTCTGTTGCTCTAGGCCACCTAGTTTGTGGTGTTTTGTTGCTGCAGACATAGGAAGTGACAGCTTCTCAGTCCAGGTGTGCAGCCTAATTCTCACCTCTGTGTGTTCTCGGGTCTAACTATCCACAAGGCTGGACTAGCACAGGCTAAAGTAAGAGGAGCTCCTGCAGAAGAGGAAGAGTAAAAGAAGCAGGGGCTGGGGCAGCCCGTGTGGTTAAATAAATATCTTGCAGCTAGAGAACATTATTTCGAATAATTAAAGCATCCCTTGCAAGTGTAGCATTCTCAGTCTTGCACCTGAACTAGAGGGCAAGCGTCGGGGTGGACATGGACAGCCGGGAGTCTAGGTGTGGGGTCTAATGGCCTAAGAATTCCTTGGAAAATTTCCAAGAAAACACAACACTATCCCACCAGGTTTGGGGCCAAGGAACCTGGACTTTAAAAACTTTCAAGATGATTCTGAGGAATAGGCAGAATTTCATTGTACTTTAGATTGGGGAAATGAGGCTCAGAGATATTAAGCGGCCCAAGTTTTCAGTCAGCTCAAGAAGCAGCGTTGCAATGCAGTCAAGAATATGTATGTTCGCAAAGAACACATTAGATCAAATACACCTGGGGGTGTATCTTGGGTCCTCAGTGGCCCAGCAGAAGTTACTTCTATAAGGCTCAGTTTCCTTCTCTGTGAAATGGGAATAATAATAACCTTTACTTCATTTTGTTGTTGTGGAAACGAAGTGAGGAAACATTGAAAGTTCAGCATCTGGCACCTAGAATGGTGCCCATATACCTGATAGCAGCAAAGCAGCAGCAGTCACATTAGAAGTAGCTTGGTGGGAAGGGCACGGTGGCTCACACCTGTAATTCAAGCACTTTGGGAGGCCAAGGCAAGCAGATCACTTGAGGTCAGGAGTTCAAGACCAGCCTGGCCAACATGGTTAAACCTCATCTCTAGTAAAAATACAAAAAATTAGCAGGGCATGGTGGCGGGCACCTGTAATCCCAGCTACTCAGATGGCTGAGGCAGAAGAATCATTTGACCCCAGGAGACAGAGGTTGCAGTGAGCTATGATTGCACCATTGCACTTCAGCCTGGGCAACAACAGCAAAACTGTGTCTCAAAAAAAAAAAAAAAAAAAAAAGAAAAGAAAAAAAAAGAGGTAGATTAGTGGAGGGTAGATCCCATGCTATTTTGCCTCTGAGTCCAATGCCCTCTGAAGACATTGTTTTACCCTTTAATATTTTGAACAGCAGTTACTACAATAATGTGTAGCATAACCCAGACTCAAAATGGAGCTGGAGCATGGACAGGAGGGCGTGGGAATTCTGGACGGTGTCTGCATTTACAACCCTATTCCTACATATCTGAGCCAGATTTCTCATGTAATAGTTTGGGCCCTGTGAAAAAATAGTTGCTGTCTGTCCAGCCTTGCGAGTGCCTTGCACTGAAGATGTCCAGAGTTCTTGCCGTGCCCAGTTGCCCATCCTGGTCCGTACCTCACACAGCAGGGAGGGGCTGTTTCCCGGTGTAGGGCAGTGGGCACCTCACTGGCAGGCATTGACCGGCAGCGAGCCTCACTGTGGGCTGCATCCTAGCCTGGGGCACAGATCAAGCTTTGAGATGCAAAGATGCTGGCATTCGGTATATTTCCCAAACGAGTTTGTTCAGAGCGCATTTGTCTTCTGGTTTCTGTGCAAGTCATGTTTTGAGAACAAAACACCTTCACCTTCAGGGATGCCTTTTAAGTGTGAAGATCATTTTAGTCGTTAGAAAAAGGGGACAAGCAACGATGTTATTACACGCTGGTGCTCAGGAAGGTGGAAATTGTATACATACAATTTAATTTTCTGGCAGATCTTGGCCAAAAACGGGAGTGAACAAATGTCAGAACCACTTCTAGAGTATTTCTGGGGAAACAAAAAAACAATAGAAAGACAGGTGTTTAGTTTAAGGAATGGTTCCCCACCTTCTAAGGGCCCCTCTGTACTTGAGGTTTCTGGATCCTCCTTCCTCTAGAATCCAGCCCCATTTTTCTTCTCTAAATTTACCTCTTGTTCCTGTCCCCACCATCTGTATCCATGCCATGGCCTGTGCCTTTGCTCACCGGGCTCCTCAGCCCGAAGGCCGCCCTCCTCCTCTCCTCCCAGCCAGTTCTTCCCAGCTTCCCAGCCTCCCTCGAGCTCCACCTTGTCTCAGGAGGGTCTGGCAACAGCATTCCTCTACCCAGGTGCTTTATAAATAAAGGACATTTTCAAACAAAATAATTTCATCTTATTATGGAAATAAAAACTAAAGGGAGAGACACAATCTGGGGCCTGGGAGGAAGGAAAGCCCCTTCCCCCGGGGAGCAGAGAGGTGCGCAGACCAAGCTCCTCATGCTTCCTGAGCCATAGGGTTCTAGACAGCGATTTCTATGAGACTCCAGATGTGAGATACACTAGAAGCCCTGGCATTTTACCAAACAGTGCTTTTAGAAAGATTGCAGTTTCCACAATGCTTTCCTCAAACTAAAGAAGAAGAAGAAGACAACAGGGTAGAAAAGTTAGGCACCAGCATTTATCAGTGAAGGGAGAGAGACTGTGGATTCCTTCCAGCCCAGAGTCCTTCAGGTGGCTATGAGGTGTGTTATGGGAATTGGTGATATTTGACCCTGGCAGGAGAAAATTGGCAACCATTTCAGGATATAAATGAGGTACTTAAGGATTTTTGAGATGCCTGCCCTGCTTTCTAGGAGGAGAAATAATCCTGACTGGTGGCCCAGCTCCACAAAAGACGTGGAGATAGACACTGTCCTTGTCCCCAGCTCACTGTCAAGTGGAGGGCCTGGGTGGACAGCCCAGCTCTGGGTACACCCTGTGGGGTCTGCAGAGGCCAAGGCAGTAACAGGGGTCTCTAGGAACCTGGAGGAGGATGCAGATGACCCAGCAGTGAGGCGGGATGGAGGCAGGTGGGGCGGAAGAGAGATGGCCTGAGGCTTTGTGACTCAGTGCGGGCCACAGTCTTGCTAGAGATGCTCATCCTTGCCTTCCACATCCCTACCTCAGGTCTGCTGAATCAAAATCCCTGGGGTGGGTCCTGGCAGCTTATGCCTTCATAGCCCTCCAGGTCATTCTGATGCCCACTAAAGCTTGAGAACCACTGCCCTAGGTCCTTGCCATTCAAGGTGTGATCTCAGATGAGGAGCATCAGTGCCACCTGGGAGCTTCTAGAGATACAGAGTCTCATTCCCTGCTGCAGACCTACAGAATCAGAATCTGCATTTTAACAAGGTCCGTAGGATGCACCCTAACGCTGAAGAAGCCTGACTCCTGGTGGAGGGAGCACCTGAGCAGTGCTGTGGAGGTATGAGAAAGTTTGCTCTCTTGGGGGAAAGCCAAATGTTCCCACCTGGCGGGAGCATCGGAGTGGCAGAATACAGTGAAGCATGGAAGGAAGGAGACAGGACCGGGAGCCTGGAATGCAGTGCCACATGTTACCCTGAGGACTGTGGGGAAGCCGTGGAGGTGTCAGGCAGAGGAATCAAATTTGTGTTTCGGAAAGATATCTCTAGGCGTGGGGTGATGGTCTGGAGGAGGATCGTTTGAGATAAGAGAGAGACCCTAAGGCCCTATCTCAGGATTTCAAACCTCGGCGCTATTGCCATGTTGGGCAGAGAGTAATTCCGTCCTTGCTGTGCGGGCTGCCCTGTGCACTGCGAGATGCTGGCAGCATCTCTGGCCTGTGACCTCCAGATGCCAGCAGCACAAATCTGCCTCCAGACACTGCCAAATGTCCCCAGGGTGGGGGTGAGGGGCAATATTGCCACAGATTGAGAAGCACTGATGTGAAACAGGGTGGAAGAGGGTGATGGTACACAGAAGGGGTGGTTAGAAGGGTGACTCCAGAGACTCAGTAGCTGACTGAGACCAGGGTTGTGGTCACACTGCAAAACAAGCACCAGCATAAGCTTCTACCACATGAGCGATGGCACTTTGGAAGTACAGACACTATTTGAGATCCAGAGTCCGAAGTCAGGTTGCATTTGAATGTTTGAGGCTCTTTTAATATTCAGTTTAGTCTGAAGTCCTTGGTCTAATTCTCCTAACCACAATGTAGATGTTAACACTGATAACAACCAATATATTTAAAAATGTATATGAACAGTTTTATAGTTACTACACAAAAGGTACAATAGAATGCAGTTGTATAATTACACAGCTGTTTGCGTTCAAAATTCAGCCTGGTGGCTGCAGCTGCCTTGGCCATTCATTGTGTAAAAATTGGGGTTAGGAAATAAGTGGCAGATGATGTAGGGGCCCCTAGAACTCCTCCTGCTTAGATAGAGGTTTTCATTATCTGGTCTTTTCGTTACATAGTATGGGAAAGACCACGCTTCTCTTACAATTTACTTGCAAAGAGAACAGAGATGGGCCCCGAGCAATACTGTATGGGTCTTCCTTGCCTATTTGCCAGCCTCCTCCTTTCAATTTGAACTTTGCTAGATAGAGATAAAATGTGGGCTGTTATTAACTCAGCAATACATTTAAAATATTGCAACTGGCTGCATCTAATCCCATCTAAAATGAGAGTCTCAAATCAGGGCTGTCCCTGGGGATAGGAGTCATGCAGCATCTTTGCTTTGCAATCTATTTAACCAGATTCCTGAGCTTCCCCACACCAGGATGTCAAATGAATGCAGAACAACAGACAGGGGCTGAATAAAGAAAAATGGGCTGAATGGGGCACATGGAAAGTCAAAGGGGGAGAGTCATCACTCTTCTGTACATGGCCAAGCTGAAATTGAATTTCTGTGTGACCAAGTGCTTTACAATCCTTGTCGTGTATTATATTACCTGGATTTAATTGGTCTGGGGTGGGGTTTGGACATCAGCAACTAGTAAAGGCTTCCCAGATGATTCTATGGAGCGGGTGGGTTTGCGATCGGGGCTGTCATTTAGAGCTGCACAGGTTGTCCACTGTACGATTCCAACATCCACATAGCCTGTGATATAAATGGTGCTCCCCTAAGTTTAGCACTGAGGAGGCCTTGCTGAAAACTACTGGCCTGGTAGAAAAGGTATTGAATGTGGGGATAGCTAGCTCTGGATTTAAATGTGGGGTTTCTCACTTACTAGCTATGTGGGGTGAGCACATAACCTACCTGAGACTCAGTACTCATCTGTAAAATGGGGTTGATAACAAAATACTCTGTCTACTTTGTAGAAGTGAGAATTAAGTGATTCCATAACTCAGGTGCTGTTAGATATTCAATGCTCTGTCAAATCCATGAAACGTCCCCTCTAGGAGCCTATCCAGGCCTCATTGAGATCCAGGCTTTCTCTGGAATGTTTGATTTCCTTCAATAATGCATAACTGTTTCCAGGTCTGAATTCTGACTGATAGGCTGTGCTGAAATGATATGCAACCTACTGAGTGCAGCTTTCTGCGCTCCGGCCAGGTCTGCAGTCATGTCAGCCATCACGGTGGAATTAATTGCAGCCAATACTCTCTGAGCAGTTTTTTCAGAGATACTTATTTGCATTTTCTGATTATTTTTTCTTTGATAGCTGTAATCTGGACAGCAAATTGGTGGAGGTTTCAGAAGAGTATTTTTATTGTTGAATTGTTTAGTAGAATTTTTTTTCACTTCTCCCAAGTAATTATTGGAATCCTGCTCCATGAATTAATGCTTGCAATTCTGGTGACAGAAGTAAAAAATTGTAAAATCCCAATTAGGAGTTAATGCCAAGCCAGTTTTTGCTAGTGAAGTAAACAATGCCTGGAGAATAAGTTCTTAGGAGTGTGTTGAGAAGAATAAAATACATGTTGTATTGTTCTCCATTTCTGCTCAGAATTCTGAAGGGGGTCGTCAAGAGTTTTCTACGGTGTTTCGATATCTTATTCAACAACTTAAGCAAATTGGCTAATCAGGCTACTATTAGCCTTTAATTATTCATTGAATTAAATAATGATTGACAATGCAGACATTGTGATTGATTAATCAATTATGTAGAAATGTCTACATATTGCCACTTAACATGTATTTATTGGCCTTGTTCATCAAAACCCATATGCTCTCCGTGAGCAGGGTTGCCAGATAAAATGTTGCACTAGATATACTAAAACACTGTTTGTTGTTTATCTGAAATTCAAATTTAACTGGGCATCCCATATTTTTACTTGAGAAATTTGGCAAGCCTAGCCATGAGGGATTTTCCTCCCTTTTATTTCTATGTTGCCAAATCAATAATACCTCAAATGTAGTGCATCAAGGTGAACGATGAGCTAGCTAGCAGGGAGAAGCCAAGGATGAGGTCTGTGCCCTCCCATTGCTGATGGATGCTTCCTTACCGCCAGGATCTTTGGCATTGACAATGATGTTGTGCTTTAAAGATGTACTTTTCTGTTTCATTTTCAAATGGGGCTGATTTGCAACCAGAGCCTAAGTCAATTAAGCCTGTGAAAACTGATCTGAAGTAAACATTCTATCTGTTGAACGAGAGTATTGTTATACAAGAGGACAAATTAAGGGAACATGAATAAAAATTGTGATAACTTTAACTCTCATTTATTGAGGACTTGGTAAGTCCTAGGCAAGATCCCAGATGCTCTCTACACTCTCAACTCTATCAGTCCCAACACTGGAGTACAGTATTATCATCCCTGTCTTACAAACAAGAAAACTGGGGCTCAGTGAAATTGAGCACCTTGCTTGAGGTCACAATTTTAGAAAGTGGAGGAGCAGGAGGATACAGCCTCCTCCAAGATGGTTTACTGAAAAGCAGCAGTTCTCAACAGGGGTGTTTTGCTTTCCAGGGCACATTTGGCAATGTTAGGAGGCATTTTTGATTGTTGTGACTAGGGAGGGGTGGGTGGTGGTACACTGGCATCCAGTAGGTAGAGGTCAGAGCTGCTACTGAATACCCTACAAAGCCCAGGACAGCCAGCACCACAAAGGATTATCCTGCCCCAAATGTCAGCAGTGCTAAGGCTGAAAAACCACGCAGCAGTGAAAAGGCAGGAAACACAAGTGGAAGCAGCTTATGTTCCTACTTCCATCCCATGTAGCTATGGTGCATTGCAGGCTTATATCCAGAGCAGTCCTTGCCTTTGGGATGTGAGAGCTGGGGCCAGAGAGGGCATGCCAAGGAAGAGGCTGGCGTTCTACCCGCTGAGTGCTTACCAGAATCGGGGGCTTCTTGACAATTTGTCTTGCCTTCTCTAGTGTAAATTCCCATGCCGCCTATAAAAGCAAAGTTAGATAACATTACAACTCATGTCTTATCTTTTCTTCCTACATCTTTTCTAAAGTTAGGATATTTAAAGTCCATAAGTTTTCAATAAATGAACTACTCTGTAAATTTGTAATAAAATAATTCACAAGAAGGCAATTGCACATTAATAGCTCCCTTTATTTTGGACTTTGCTTTGTGTCAGATGCGGTGCTAAGTACTTTGGGAACATTATCTTATGTACTCTTTAAACAGCCCTGTGAGATATGACCATTTCACAGATGAGGAAACTGAGATGCAGAAAACCTAAGAGATCTCATAGTTGGGGTCTGGCAGAGAGGCAATCTGAACCTCTGCTTCCTGACCCTTCTGCTACACTGATCTCCATAAGCAATTTACTATTCTTGTGTCTAAAACCTCCCAGTTGGAAGCTGTCAACAGCCTGCTTGAGTGTCTGGTGTTTTAGCGGTGAAGAATGACCTACAGTTGCTGTGCAAGCTAACACCTCATCTCTCAGTCACCTCCTCTTCCCCTGGTTGGAGATCCCCTGTCCTCTTTCAACCATTGTGAGAGCATCAAAGTGCATCTTCCAAGTGTACACACATTGCAACAATAAAGAGTTAGCGCATTACTACCAGTGACAATTGCTGTGCAACTCCTGAGGCCACTGTGTTTGTCTATTTGTTGGGAGGTGGAAGAAGAGCAACCCTGAGGTGGGTGGGGATGAGGAGGATTTGATCTCAGCACTGCTTCCCATAGCTTTCAAACCCAGATAATGTACATGTCCTGCTACCCCTCTCCTGGGCCTGCTACCTGTACAGCCCTAAAGTAATCTGCTCAATAATTGGAAAGCTCTGCCTGTTGGCTGCTAAGAGTGTGTGTTGATGACTTGAGAGGAAAAGTTGCTCTTCAGGTGGGTTTGGTTGCCAGGGTGCCCTGCTATGGTGTATGTTTCCTAAAACATTGAAAGGCTACTGTGCCAGTTGGTGAACAGCTGTGTCCCTAAGCCCCTGAAGGTCCTCTACTCCTGCCCTGACCATCCAGCCTCTTGCTTGGACTCCCCCAGGCCTCCTTGTGATCTGTCAACTATGGGGCCACTGTGATAGTCCCACCCAGTGGGCACCTCCAGGCTGTGCTCCCACCGCACCCAGTATCCCTTCTGATTGGTTGGCAGTAGGCCAAAAGAGTTGATCCCGATCTTCCCTTTTGAAACGTGACATCTTTACTAGAAAAGCTGTTTAGGGAATGGCCCCATTCAAAAACTGACCTCATTAAATGCACTTTTGACCTTTTCTGGAAATTCGAGCAAACCCTGAAAATTCTCCTGTTGTGTAAATTAAGCAACTCTGGCATAGTCAGTGTAACAGACACCAGATTTTAGTGCAAACTTCACTTATGGTGCCCTCTGTGGCTGCTTCTATCAGCCAAGAGCTCATTCCTCACATTTTAAAACGTGAAGGTGGTAGTCCTCTGCCTCAATCATGTGCCCCTGCCTCTCTGTCTCAGAAATACTGCTTTGCATTCTCAGGCCCAGTTTAAAATCTTCAGAGCCTCTCACAGTCCCTAAGCCCCTGAGAGTTGTTGCATAGTAGGTGCTCAGTAAACATGGAAATAAAAGCAAAAGAAAGTAGTTAATATAGTATGTTAAACAAGGAAAACAGGCTACCAAATTTTATGCACATAGGAAAAAACGTGGCAAAGGAATATGCTAGAATAATGATGGGTGATAGCTTTTTTCTTTTGCTCTTTTCAGGTTTTCTAAATTTTAAACAATGAGTACCAGCTCAGCAATAAATGCTTTCAGAAAAGAGCTCAATCCATGTTGTCTTGTTTCTCACTGAGGAAAATGATGTGCTCAGTGTACCAATATGCAAGTGAGGGCCCTGGGGATCTAGCGTTGAAACCCATGGTGAATGGCATAGACATCCCTTCCCTCCCCGAGCTTCATCCCTGGCAAGGAAACTGACCTCGAGCAAGTACAGTAAACAGAAGTGGGATGAAGCAGAGAGTGCTGAATCCCTGTGCGAGAACCAATTTGATTCTAACCCAGCTCTGTTCTCTGGGGCTCGATGTTTGTTGGGAGGTACGGACAAACCATGAAAACAGGATGTGGTAAGCACTGTAGCAGAGGCTGTGGGGCTGAGGCGGGATGGGCGGCTTCTGTGTCCTCCCGCGAAGTCTAGGGCAGGTTCATCTGGATGTGGCCGAGTCCCTGATACTAGTGCATATAGGGGTGGCAGAGGGAGCCAGGGCTGGGGCTGCAGGGAAATGCACCAGCTCTTGCCAAGGAGGGGAGTCAAAGCATCCAAGTGTGGGAACAGAGTCCTGGTCTCAGATGGACAGCCAGACACACCCATTTACTCAGCACCCCCTTCCAAATTCTAGTCACAATAACTGCTGGGAAAATACAGGTTTCTACTAGAAATTGGGGAAGGGTAGGATCCACAAACTAGAAAATTAGAAGCATTTCTGCAAGATGCAGTTTGGGTAACAGCAAATTGAAGCAAAGAGGGAGCAGTTGAGCTTTTAGCACATTCAAAGATGAAGATGCCCTCATCTGCGCTGTAAAGTAAAGGGGACAGCTGCCTACTTCCCATGCAGCTGGGATGTAGGAAGTAGGCAGCTGTCCTCTTTACAGTGCAGTCCGCCCAGAGGTCAAGCACCTCACCTGATCACACAGGTAGGGGCAGAATCCCATGCAGGTAGAATCCCTTGGGTAGAATCTCACCAGCATCCTTGACACTGGGGCAACAGGGCTCAATCAGTGCAGACACAGTGGCCGTGTGTAGGGTGCAAGTTTTGGTGTGACAAAAATATGGAGTCATGCCCTCAGACCCAGGGTTGCCTGAAGTCTGAGCCACAGTGGCTCTCACAACTGCCCTTTGGCAGAGGCTGTCCCCATGGTTAGGGATGGCAACCTGGCGGTGATGGTGACAGACTTGTCCTGCAGCTACATTTTCAGATATGCTACCTAAGATTCAGAAAATGGCAATTGATTCTACCCAACAACAAAGTGAATGGTGGCAGAAAGCTCTAGAAGCCACCACTGGCTCCCCCTGGGCATCACCCAAGGCTGGAGAAGGGCCCCAGCCTGGTCAACTTGAAGCTGCTGCAATAGCATAGGCAAGGGCCTTCAGGAAGCTCACGGCCTTGAGTAGGTGGGGAAGGATAAGTCAGGGATTCCAGGCTCAGAATAGCTGTGCACAGGAGCCAAGGGGGCACAGGTACAAAGGAAGATAGTTTACATCACCCTTAGGGGGAGAAAGCTTCTCAGGGGACCTTCAGCTTCAGCTAAGCTCTCACTCAAATCCCTCATCACCCCTAGAAAGCATACATTATCCCTCCTTTACAGCACAGTTCACCCAGAGGTCAAGCACCTCACCGGATCACACAGGTAGGGGCAGACTAGAGGGAGTTCTGCTTAGGATTCAGCTCCAGAGCGTTCAGTCTTCAAAACCCATGCGCAGCTTTCTCATTTACAGTGTGCCAGATAACAAAAATGGAGTTTCTGGCCTTTGAAACTGGCATCACATGGATCCACCCGGGAACTGGCATTCTAGAAGTCCCCGCCCTACCTCCATCTGGTTAATTTTCCAGCTGCAGAACTGAAGTCTTGTCTCTCCAATAACCCTGAGAGCTCCTGGGTTGGGCGGTTGAGGCTCTGGGCTATACTTTTTCATTTCACTTGACATCTTTAATAATATTGAGCCCAGGGCATGTAGGCAACAAGTATCTGTTGACTTAAATTCACAAAATCACGAAAATGGAAAGGACTAAGTAGAAACTAGGAAAGGGCTGTATTTTTCAGATATTTCCTTTGAAAGCTCAATACAAGGGTTGCTCCCTCCTGAAGCCGTCTCAGCTTCTGTTTCTTGGGTCGAGCTTTCCTTTTCTGTTTTCTTTACATTCCACATTATAATACACTCCCATGCATAGAAGTAATGTCGACTGAACAGAGGAATGAGACAATGTCTGAAAAATACAGCCCTTTTCCAGTCTCTGTTTAGTCCTTATCATCAGATCACACTGTAGTGTATAGCCACGGGGGCTCACCACAACGCTTCTGTCTAGAAAGATTTAAGTGTCTACCCAAACCAAAGCCAGCCCAAAGTCTTCAGACAAGAGGTGAGGCTTGGGGATTATTGACTGCTTTTATGGGTTGAATTTTGAATTGTGTCTCGCCAAAATTCATGTGCTGAGATCATAACCCTGCAGCAGCTCAGAATGTGACCTTATTTGGAAAAAGAGTCATTGCAGGTGTAATTATTAAAAGCAATGACAAAAACCACAATTACTTTTGCACCAACCTTATAGTTAAGCTGAGGTAAGGTCATATTGGAGCAGGGTAGGCTGGCATCCTTATAAACAGAACGCCGTGCAAAGGAAGAGAAAAAGACACATAGAGGGAAGATGATGTGAAGATACAGAGAGAATGCTAACTGTAAGAAACACCAAAAATTCCCAGCAAACCACCAGAGCTGAGAGGAAAAAGGCATAAAACAGATTTTCTCTCACAGCCGTCAGAAGCTAACCCTGCTGATTTCTTGAACTTCAGCCTCCATAACTGTCAGACAATTGTTTTCTGTTGTTTAAGCACCCCAGTTTTTGGTCACAGCCCCACAGACTCATACAACTTCTTTTGCTCCCCAGGGTGATTTTTGTTCTTGACCTTGAAGTAAGAGTAATTTGGATGATGGACGAGCAAGGGCCAAGTGCTCATCACTATCAGTTTTTTGGGCAAAGTGGTGCTCTGTTAGGGCTTATGCTCTGCCAGGCATCAGCCACATGGGAGCCCAAGGAAAAGGAAGAAAGTACTGTGGTCTGATTTAGCCATTTGGATGGGAGCAAAATGTGCATCTTCAGTAGAAACTTTAAATATTTGCCTCTATTGTTATTTGCCATTTAAAATGATTTTGGGCCATAGAGTGTTTGTGGGTTCAAATCCTGGCTTCATTAGTTATTAGGTGTAGGACCTTGGGCAAGTTAGTTAAGCACTCTGAGCCTCAGTTTCTTCATCTGTAAAATTGAGATGATAATAGCATTGTGAGGATTGACCAAGATTGCACTTAAAAATAGTGTCTTGCATATTAGTAAGCATGACATTAGTATTAACAATAATTGATGTTTTTATTTTGGTATGTAATGTCATCAATACACAACTGGAAAGATTATAACAATTGCAATGTCAGCCTATAGAAATGTATGCTATTTTCCAAGGATCCTGAAAATTGCCCTGAGAAGAAAGTATTACTCTCCCTGTTTTACAGGTGATAAAACTGAGGCTCAGAGAGATGACACAATTTAACCAGGGCCAGTATGCAAGCACAGCTGACATCAGCACTCGAATTTCCAGACTCCAGGGCCTTTCCCGCCACTGAAACACTGTTTTCCAAGAATGAAGTAAGCCCAAAATGCAAGAAAGAAACACAAGCAAGAAAATATGATCTATGAGGTTTGACCAGGCCTTGGGGAAGGGCAAGTGTGGCTCCCATGGAGTGAAGACAGTTTAATGCAAAAGGTCAGATAGATGAGAGGACAGGCTCTGGGTGTCAAGAACCTAGGCACGTGGGTGGAAATTCATGCAACCCTGGTACAAGCATGGTGGCAGGAATATGATTGGTAAGGAAAGGAGAAAGAAGTATTCTCCCAGTCAGTCATTTCTTTGTGCAGTTGTTCATTCTATCCATTTATTTTACAAATACTTCTTTAGTGTTTATGTTTGATAAGTTTTGGATTTGTGTCCCTGCCTGAATCTCACGTTGAATTGTGACACCCAATACTAGAGGAGGGCCCTGGTGGGAGGAGACTGGATCATGAGGGTGGATTTCCCCCTTGCTCTTCTCATGATAGTGGGTGAGTTCTCACGAGATCTGGTTGTTTAAAAGTATGAAGCACCACCCCCTTTGCTCTCTCTTCCTCCTGCTCTTGCCATGCAAGATGTGCCTGCTTTGTACTTGCCTTCTGCCATGATTGTAAGTTTCCTGAGGCCTCACCAGCCATGATTCCTGTACCAGCCTGCAGAACCATGAGCCAATTAAACCTCTTTTCTTTGTAAATTACCCAGTTTCAAGTATCTCCTTATACCAGTGCAAGAATGGACTAATACAATGTTGCATTGTGAATTATATGCCAGGGACATAGTAGGGAATGAGACTTCAAGAGTGTTATAATCTAGGAGAGAAGATTGACAGTAAACACTGTAATTAGAAAACAGTTTGGAAAGTGTTAAGTAGTAGTTGCTATTCTCCTTTTTCTATAGATGTGGTAAACTGAGGCTTAGAGTAGATAAATAACTCCCCCAAAGTCACAAAGACAATGAGTGGCACGGTTCAGATCCTGTTCAGACCCACTTGGCACAAAGTCCATTCTTTTTCACTCTGCTCTGGGAGATGTTAAGGGGAGTGCTAAAAATGAAACTTTTTTTTTTTTTTAAGTTTAACAAAAGTTTGGAAAATCTGAGAATGAAATCCTCCCTTGCGAAAGCCACGTCACGGCTTTGGGCCGCTTTGTGGGAATAAATAGTATTTAGGTTGGGCGTTTTCCTAAACATTCATAGGTTTCAGCCAAAGCCCATTCAGCTCTATTGACTACAATGGTAAGCACACAAAGAGCATGGCAAACAGGGGATCCTCAGGGACACGATGGAATGTCTGGAGCCATTTTAAGAGTATAGGCGAATTGTACACGACACATTCAGTAATTGGGCTTTCTAAGGTTCTGTGATGTTAAAGAATTGAATTCTGGTACACTTAGGAAGGAAAGAAAAACAGTATTTTTAGGCATGAGTTTCTACAGTGAACAATTTTGAGTGATCAA